TATAAAGGGAAACAAATGGCTCATCACTGACTCACATTCAAAAGGAAATGACGTCAGCTCTCGTCCGCCCTTGACCTCAGCTCGCCTATGGTTGGCTGTGTTGTTGCCTAGCAATTATGACGAATAATTGAGTCACGAGGACAGGAGAGGGAAGCAGGTCTGCGTTAACAGTACGAGCTGAGAAGAAAACTGGTGAGAAATGGTCACTGTGGTATCGTGTAAGGATTTGAGGGAAGGAAAATAAAAGGTTGATGTTGAGCCTCACACACTTCCCAGCTGCAGCCTTTAGGGGATGCTAATGCTCAAATATGCACACGACGAAAAATGACTCATGTCTGTGAATCAATACTACAACTACAACTACTGCACAGATTTTCATAAAGTAAAAAGTCATGAAGAATGTTCAGTGACAAAAGGTGTATTTATTTGAGAGATGACTTTAGTCAAGGGGCTCAATAACCTAATGCTCGTTTATTGCAAGTCATATTAGGAGTGAAATCAGTGATCACACAGTATCATGTTAAATTCCTTTTTTAATGTTTCCTGCTCCCTCCAATAGGTGGTAGGCAGTATGGATGCCCATCCCAGCAGATACTGTGCCACAGTGCGCGTCCAGAGACCCAGGCAGGAAATCATCGAAGATTTATCTTACATGGTGCGCGAACTGCTGATTCAGTTCTACAAGTCAACCCGCTTCAAGCCCACCAGGATCATTTTCTACAGAGACGGTGTTCCTGAGGGACAGTTGCCTCAGGTAGGTGGGACGTTGCGATCTTAATGACACAATGCCACCAAAATCTATTTTAACATGTTTTCATCTGAGTGCTAACTGAGTGCTAACTGTTACACGCAGATTCTCCACTACGAGCTGTTGGCCATCAGAGATGCGTGCATAAAGTTGGAAAAGGACTATCAGCCTGGTATCACCTACATCGTGGTGCAGAAACGTCACCACACACGCCTCTTCTGTGCTGATAAGTCTGAAAGGGTAAACTTTCTTTGTTTCCCCTTCAGTTTTTCTGTTTCCTACTAAGTTTTCATACTTGCTTACCTGTTTTTTTTTTCCTTGTGTTATCTTTGGACAGATTGGGAAGAGTGGGAACATTCCTGCAGGGACTACAGTGGACACCAGCATCACTCATCCCTTCGAGTTTGACTTCTACCTGTGTAGTCATGCAGGAATACAGGTATTTATAATAGATATTTTATTGTTCCATAAAAATCTCTATTATAATATAATAAGAACAAATCTGTTTGACTTCTTTTAACCTTGCAGTTATTTTACACAAAAAATTTATTGTTATTTTAATTGCCCTTTTCTCCTCTGTCCTCAGGGCACCAGCCGGCCGTCTCATTATTACGTCTTATGGGACGACAATCGCTTCACAGCTGATGAGTTGCAGATTCTAACCTACCAGTTGTGCCACACTTACGTGCGCTGTACCCGCTCAGTCTCCATCCCTGCCCCAGCCTACTATGCTCGTCTCGTGGCCTTCCGTGCCCGCTACCATCTGGTAGACAAAGAACATGACAGGTCAGTGTGGCTACGAAAGATAGACTACGCATGTCTTCATTCTTGGTTGGTTGATGTTTGTTGGGGGGAAGGGGTTGGTAAGCTTGCTCCCTCTGTGGCCTCAGTAAGCACTTTCTTGACTTTCACAGTTGGTAGTTTCAGGTCAAACTGAAGTTAATTTTGTAAATTATGGCCATTCTTAGAGGCAGAATTAAGGATTATCCAGGTGGCTAATGATTTGTCAATCACAAGTCATTCACAGTCAAGTCCATCCCTCCCTAGTCATGCTCAGTTTCAAAACACCAAGATAACAGGACTTCGCTAACCAGCGGATGACATCACAGTTTTTACATACATCTTTTATACTGTCTACAGTTTGTCACTGACAACTCCTACAACCAGCAGCAAGTGGGGCTGTTGGTCTGCTGCTGCTGCCAATTTTATTCTTATCAAGACATGAAATGTGTAACTCATCTTTGCTCGCTCTCTCATCACCCTCTCGTCTCTCTGCAGTGGAGAGGGCAGCCATGTGTCCGGTCAGAGTAACGGTCGGGATCCCCAGGCGTTGGCTAAGGCTGTTCAGATTCATCACGACACTCTGAGGACCATGTACTTCGCCTGAGCGTCACCAACCATCGCCGCCATCGTTCCCTCCCACCTCATTTCTACCTGAGTGGGCAAACGGCCCACCGGCACCACCTCATCCCCATCCCTTACTCCCTACAATTGCCCACTACACATACTTCACAGCAATCAGTCACTCAAATCCAAGAAACACAAATCCCCTCTCCTGTAAAACACAGGTAGACTCTGCAGCCTCATGCACTCAAAAGGTTATGAATATTACTGTTATTTTTACTTTACCGGGACTATTGATCTTTTTAAGTTGAATTTTGAAATCATGGGTATTATGTAATTGTATTGTATGCTACCTTCACACTCCTATGTATGTAAGTATGCAATACGGATGGGAGAAAAATAGAAAACTAGGCGATAAAAAGGAGAAAAAAAATCCTAAAAACTTTTTTAACTGCCACCACGATGCTGCCTCTACCCATCCAAATGCCGGATGCCAGTATTGCAAGCCCCTTGTTAGAGGGGATCCTCATTAGAGGTGGTACTGGGCACGCACACTTACATGTATCATTTTAATGTTATCATGAACTACATTCATGTTTTTTAATGTTTTTGAAAACTGTTTTTTTTTTAAACAGCCTTGAGGAGTCTGGGGTATGGTACATTAGCACTTAGTGTTAGCATGTAGGTGCCACCAGTCCTGCACATAAAGAGTTTGTTAGTACATGCGAGGCTAGCCCTCTGGTCTTTATATTATAGCAGACAAAGAAAGAGCAGGTGTAGCATATTGTAGATCCAGGACAGGAGTCCTGCCACACACTCTGTCCTGGTTGGCCAGTCCCTTAGAGATTTCGCCTTTAGAGGCAAGTTTAGCGTAACAGTAGAGGGACCATTTGCATAGTGTGTATCTAATATACTTGCACCCCATGCACCTAAACCAGCATTGTTAACCAGCCAAAAGTGATGCCACCCTATGGAAAGGGGGCACTCAAACAGGAAGATAATCTTTTATTTCTCTATACATCGCTCTTTTAGAATTTACGAGGCACTTTTTAAATTTTACTTTTATTTTATTTTACTTCAAAATGGTGAAACTAGCCGTTGGCGAGACTTTACACTCTACATTTGAACGTTTCACACCCACACTTGCGTAGCTTTCAGAACAAAGGCAATAGGCAAGGTCAACACTATTCTGTAGATTTAAAAGCAGGCAAATATAGTCTATGATCACTTAAGTGCTGCAAAGCTGAAGTCGCCTTCAGCAACTGACCTTGCTCCGATCCGTCTGCACATTCCAATGTGTATCAGTGGAAATGGTGCCAAGCGGCGCGCTCCACGCATCCACCCGTGCTTTTCTTTGCCTAACTGTACCAACCTATCCTGCGCCTGTCCCGCTTTTACACAGAGCTCTTCCCCTCTGCAGGCATTTACAACAGAAGCACACACATGCCTGCGCTCTCAGTCTCCTTCTCAGCATGCAGAGACATAGCTGATCAAATGCACTTGTTCCCCCCATTCCCACGTGAAGCCAAACTCATCAACCTTTCCGCCATCACCTTTTATCCTTGCCGTCTGTTCTCACTCGTCGCATAACACACCTGCAGCATCCCCTGCCCCAATCCCCTATGTTGTGTTAGCCAATCCCTATTGGTGCTCTGTGTGCGTGGGCGGCACAGATAGGGGATTGCTACATTTGACAGGGTGGGCCTCTATTACGACTATTTAACATGCCCTGCCTTTACATCTAGTCACTTTCTGGATTTATGGAAGAAAAATGCATGTAATTATTTTTTATGACTGGATATTCTGAGCCACCTTACTTTGGTTTTCTTAGAGGTAGGAGCCTCGCGCTCACCACTGCCTGTCAGTCGTTTTGCCTCGATTGTGTAATGGTTATAAAGACTGCTTTTTTCCTTTGTCATTATTATTATGAATATTGTGACTAGTGTCAGAGTGTATCCTCAAGAGGGCACTGTGGAGACGGTCCCAAAATTCCACCTCAGTTGCCCTTTAAGCGCCTCAAATCTTGTCTGATGGTCAGACCCCCTTTTGAGTCGAAAGGGATCAAAAGATAAGAGATCAGATGAGTTTGATTTTTAAATCATGTTTATGAACTTGCATAATCAAAATGCCTTTGTACACCGTTTTACTGATCCTTCATTGTGTCCACGGTGATTTGTATATATGAATATATAATATTAACCTGTTATGTATTTTGGCCCAGCAGTTGAGGGGCTTTTCACAGTCGGGGCCAGTCTTCTACCCCTCATTCTGCGTTTAAAAAAAGAAAGAAAGAAAGAAAGACAGGAAAAATATCAACCTGGGGGCATTTCCCCAACACCACTGAAACCAGATGCAGTTCTTCACTCACTGAAGCCACAAAGCACCTTGCAAAGGGGGGAGACGAAATGGCAGTCACCCTGGAAATGTATCATGTGGACACGGGAGAGTCCGTTCCCCCTCCACGCAGCCTCACGGTCTGACTAAGCAATATTGAAGCCACTGATCAAGAACAGTCCTTGTCATAGCACTTCCCAATAGATTTGAATGAAAGGACGTGGAAGCATATTATTTTGGCTCTGTATGTGATAGTATGGGAACTCTGTTGGGGAGGGTTATTTTTTAAAGAAAATAAAATTGTTTTTTATTACTCTTGTTGCGTTTTTTGTTTGATTTTACTGTGCGTTTAATACAGCTTTGTCTGAAAAGTAAGTCATGGGATTGATCAAGGCTTACTCTCATAACATCCTGAAATCCACCTTAACTAATAATTCTTAGATATTAATGCATGGGTGGATGAAGAAAAAAATGCACCTCCTAAGTCTCAAACTGTAATTCATTCAAAAGGTGGGGTTACCTTTGGGTGAGGGCGGAGCTGGCGGTCTGACGTCTGGTGACACGGGCCCACCTCTTCCTGTCGGTGTCAGAAAGGCAACTTCACCATATTTAGCTGGCTTGCCGAAGCCTTGCAGAGTTGATCTGTCAACCAGACTGGAGATCGTGACACTTATCGGCGCATACATCGCGCTGTTGACAGCTTTACTTTTGGCAGCTGAACGCATACTACGGAGGACGACGTCGTGGGTGTACGGCCCTCGGGAGAAGGGCCCGTATCAGCAGCTGTTTTTAACGCAGGAAAAGTAGCCGTCGTCTGACAGAATTCCAACTCTCCGACAGCCTAGCTAGTCAGCTAGCTAATTAGGGTTGCTTTCCCGACGTTAGCTTTGCTGTAGATACGAATTTATGACGTCTCTTTTAATGATCAGGTATCGGTAGGGATTCATTTGGACTCCGTGACCCCGCTGTGATGATATCCTGACAGCTCCTCAAACCACTGTCCCCCCCCCCCACTCGAGCCTGGCTAGTGAGTTAACTTGGCTAACTAGCAGGTTTTCACTGCCACAGCGCCGCGTTGAGCAGCCAGCAGCTTTCGCCGTGGCAGTGAAATCCGATTGGATACGTTGACCGAGTGCAAACGGCGGTTTGTGGAGACTCCGAAGACCCTCGGCCGGCCAAGTGACCGTGCCGGAGGCCCCCCCTCCTCCTCCTTTGACAGGACACAGAGAGACCAGGACCCTCGGCCACTCAGCGCTGCAGAGGCGGTGCACAGCCGAAGGAGACACCGGATTGAACGGAGGAAGAGTCCCAAACGTTTGACAACTGTGATCCGGGAAGTGAACCGGGCATTGACCTCATGAATGGAAATCGGAACTACAGGTAATTTATTCTGTCCTTACTGATTCGTTTGGTGCTTCACGGTAGTCATAGGAGTCACGTTTCCTGAGAAACGTAACATTATTAGCTAGCTAGTGAAATGAAACATCGGGATGTGGGGCTTTCTTCAACCGAAGGCGTTTAACCGTAACCAGGGAGTTTTTCTTTTTGTCCGCCCTGCAGTTAATTTGCCTAAACATGCGTCACAGTTGAAATGGTTTCATTGAAAATCGCCAGTCATACCAGGCTGCATTCACAGGTTAAATACTGACCTGTCCATAACACATCTCTGCCGGCTGATGAGGAGAGATCTCAGCGCAAACTCAGTCAGATGTGGGGACAGCTGCTAAAGAGGAGTCTCTGCATTATAGAAGACTTTAAACCCAGTGTGGCTTGTGGCAGAGGATGAACTCTGGCCTGGCCTTCCAAGCCCCCCACCCCCCACGTCTTGGTCAACAACTGACCCCAAACTGACCTCGGTATATTTTAGGATCGACATCCTCTTCCTGCATCTACGATCTAAGATGTGCTTTGTCATGCCCCAGATTTGTGTATACTAAAACATTTGTAACCTTTCCTAATGAGGGAGTTGCCAAACTTCAGTTATGGCTGTTGAGCCAGAGATAATTGTTTTAAATTGGCCTTAAAGACTAGTTATAACACATTTTTATCTGTGACCTTATGTAACATTGCACACTTTTGAATGTCACCGGAGATGCATGCTGTCACCTGGCTGCATCCAGGTTCTTTCTCTTGGTCTTAGTGGCAGTTAAACTGTCTGAACCACCTGGCCTTTGTCTCATCTGTAACGGAAGCTTTCCACTTATGTGACCATAAACTGAATGCTAGGTACTCTTGATCAGCCACTGACACATGATACAGCAGTTGGTTCACTGCCCACCTCCTCCTCCTCTTCAGAGGAGATCCCTCTCTGCTGCCTAATGTCTCATTATCATCTCAGCTCCTCTCAGGTGGGACAATTCCCAGCATTGCTAGTAGAAGGGACCACAAGGTGTTTTCCCAGTAACAGAGCACCTACAGTAGAGTAAAACATGTATGCACAGTGTGCCCTTTGAACTAGAATAAACTTGGCGTGTTCTTACAGGCCAAATGACTAGCTTGTTATCTCCCAGTTAAACAGGATGTTTAATCTGCCTCCTCCCCAAAATAAGAAAAGTTAGCCGATTTGCAATTTCATGCAGAGCATACTGCTAGCCTGCCTTACATTAAGTGCATTAAAGAGCGTGCTTCATGCTTTCACTTTGGAAGGCATTAATGCATTAATACAAACAAATAAACAGAAGTAGTTTTAATGTGCAGGTTTGAGGCTTCAGGGTATTAATATTATTGGTCTTCATACTGGTTCACAATCCCATATCACTGACGGCTGCAGTCAGCTCTGTCTGGGTGAATAATTGAAAGAGGGTCTTCCGTCAGTCAGTTAGTCAGTGGCTTGGAGAGTGGTGTGAAAATGCGAATGGATTGCCTGCCGAATTAGAAACTGACAGCGACTCTTCTCTCCAGAACTGGTCTGAGCAGCAGCTTATGTGGTATGGAAATCATGGCTCTGGAGAGCTTAGCACCAAGGGTGTAATGAGTAGAAGGCTTTTGAGTTTTAAATAAATCAAATCCATTTTGATGCGTTAACTCCACAGCGTGTCCCCAAACACTTTCTCACTTGATATGGAAGTAATATTACATTATGGCTGAGTTTTTAAGCCAGAACTAGTGATAATGTTCAAATCACGGGCACAGTTATATAGGACTCGTATTTAAAGTAATCTGTATTCTTTTGACACGCAGAACGCAGAGATTTGAAGGTTTCAGTGGCACTGGGGGTGTGACACATCTGAAACCGAGACACCAAACCGCAACGCCAACATCTTCCCGTGCTATGATATCCATGTGGAGCTGTTAATACCTAGCTCTGATGTTTCACAGATTATATTTAAAATGCATCAGTATGATGGAGGTCTTTCTTGTGTGGCGCTATACAAGAGAGCCTTGAAATAAGTGGTGGGTATTTGGGGAAATACGTTGCTTTAGTGCTGTGATTTGTTGTGCACCCTCTTGTTTGTTCTCCAGTCATCAATCTCTCACGTAACTGTTGGCACAGAAGGAAATAATCACATCAAACACATTGCTTTGCACCTAAATTTTGCCAGCAGCAAATTGAAAATAGCAGCTCAGTCCACTTCAAATGGGATTAATATATTAAAAAACAACAACAAAATCCGCAAATATGACACCTGTCACTTCCAGCCGTCATCTTTCTTCTCATGCATAATGCTAGATCAACTTCTATGAAGGTAGCATTAACCTGATCTCAGTCATTTCCACTGTGTTGCTGATTTTTAACAACATTATGCAGTGTGTAGTAGTGTCCTAGTCAGGAGGGATGCTGAAAGAAGGAAAAAGGGTGTGGAAGACTGAGGTGAAAGTCAAGATGAAAAGAGGAAGACCACAGCGACAGTTCATGTGGTGAAAGAGGGTGCGGGGGAGATGTAGGCAGATGATCCGCTCTGGTGTCCCCTAAAGGGAACAGCTGAGAAAAAGGCTGTCCAGCTGTTTGGTCTGTTTACCTGCATTAGCCAGTGTGATCCAACTTGACGGTTCCCCAGATTTATTCTGACCCCTCTCTAGAGAAAGAAATATTAATTAATCTTATAAAGTACATGGACCAGTTGTTATATAGCCCTTTTTTCTACTGGACCACTCAAAAAAACAAAACAAAATCACCCATTCACACTCGGGATAAGGTCAGAATCTTGTCCAAGGATACTTAGGCACGCAGACTGGAGCAGCCAGGGATTGAACCACCAACCTTCCAATTAGTGGATGACTTCTCGACCTCCTGAGCTACATGCCAGAATTTGCACAGTAAACTCATCCCTTGTGGAATTCGGTGCCAGCTGCATCAGAAATTTAAAAAGCAACTCTCTGGCTATAAACTTGGAAATGTTGACGCTCTCAAATAGATCTCCAAAGCCTACGTTCGTTTCTCTGTGAGATTAAAACATTTGTTTGCAAATAAATAGAACCTGCTACTGACTGTAAAACATTTTATATGAGGAAATGCAGAAAACTCTGAATCTTTCTAACCTTTGTATTATTATAAAAGTAACGGCCTTTATTGTGTAGGGGCTGATCAGGCTCAGCGGAGTGCATTAACGACGCCCATTCAGGAAAACCCCTCATATGAAGGTGTTACAGCTCGAGGAGAGCAAAATGACTTGTTGCTCATAGGGCTGCTCGCTTATGGGGGGGAAATTATCTCAAGAAGAAACTTGCGTTCAATTAAATGAATCACCTTTAAGTCAAGTGAAAAACTAAAGAAATAGATCTTTGTGGACTGAAGTAATCCTGCCACAAAAATATCAGATAGACTTTATGAAAAGGTCAAAACTACAGGGGGGGGAAAGATGCGCTGAATAGCAAATCAAGAGAGTTACTGCCCCGCAAAATAGAGCATGGTAATGGTTTTATCTTGGTTTTCTCACTTTAATAACTGCAAAAGTAGAGTTTGAAATTAAAGATTGATTCCTTGAACAGCTTTAGTGGAAAAAACTGTGTATATAAACATACTGGGCATATTGAAAGATTTACTGGAAGACAATGAGACGGCATGTACAGTACAGCAGGGGGGGCTCCCCCACCTTCCAGCTGTCACACTACACCGAGTAACCAGGTGGGATTTGAGCTGGCTGGAGATGAGTCAGCTTCACATGAAAGGCAGCCTTGGGAGTGGGTTTTACTGTCCATTAACACATTAATAGGACATGAACTAGTTTAATGAAGAACGACTCTGGGAAATTAGTGTTTGTTTGTCGCACCACCGTCTTGCTTTTGTTCTCTTCGCTTCGTTCCCCACTTGTTTTTCTCACACTCGTGCGTTCGTTTCCCGCTCTTTTTCTTTTCTTTTTTTTCTTTAAGTTCACACAGTTACCACCCCCATTCCCTCCCGGGTTACTGCTTCTGTATCTTTCTCTGTGCCCCAGTGGGAAACTCTGCCTTCCCTGTCATTCTCCTTGTACGTTGATTCTCTGTGGATTTTCAGCAGACAGTGGGGTCGGCTTTGAGGGAGGGCTTAGTACTTGATTTGCAGTCTCTCCTCATAATGCTCAGTTCATTCAAGCAGCCTGCTGACAATAGGCAGTCCCCGTCTAAAACCCCAGCCACCCATAATGTTAACATTGGCATATTGTTGCTGGTTTCTATGGAGAATGCAGTTTAGCATTGCTTTTTAGTTGTTTTGGAGGGATTTTTTTTTTTCTGTTGTTGTTTTACTGACCAAAGCTTCCTAAAAACATCTATCTTTATTTTAAGCAGAATATAATCTCTTAATGTAATATGGAAATGGTAAGTGTTGGCTGTTGTTGGAACATTTTAACGGAGTTGAACGTCGCCACCGCTGCTGTCGTGGTTGCAGAAAATAGATGCGACGAGGAGGGTTAGATCTGACTGTTAAAAGATTTATAAAATAGGTTTAATTTGACTGAGACCATAAACTCAGGAGGAAAATGTTTAGAGGCCAATGCAAATGACTTTTTTTCCATATGCTTCTACAGACAGAAGGTCTTTTTGTAGCCATGGCTGTTTCCATCTGGTGGCATTCAGATAAAACACGGGTTAAAGGCACTTCTGCTTCATTTCCCCTTGTGGGACTAATAAAGGTATATCAATATCAATCGATTTTTGCGACCCGGAAGCTAGGTCTGTTTTTGGTCTGTTCATTCCTCAACTGAGGAGAATAAAGGTTGCTGTACTCTTGACTTCTATTGTTGCGTTTCCCAAAATAAAATCTGATAAATAAGCTATCAGAACCATTTTAACATCATCCCTTAAATGCTGTGGTCCTCTTATTTTCATTGAAAAAGTGTTAGTCATGTGTTGCAGTAGTATACTGGGCGGCAACTCAGTATGACACATGTTTTGTGCTTGCAGCTAGTGGGTGTGCATTTTGTGAAAAGCTAGAGGTCTGTGATGTGTCACCTTGCCCTCTT